TTTGATTAGACTAGCGAGTTAGCACTATGGGAATATGTATTCGCCTACAAATGAGGTGCATACTCTTTCCTCTTACCAAAGGCAACAAATACGAGGTCCAACTCAAGCTTCCAGACGTTTACGGTGTTTTCAAACTGGTCGTCGATTACCATCGCACAGGGTACACCCACCTCTTCACTTCTAACCAGGTTAGTCTGTTCGATTTTATCATTCCGCCAGTGACCTCTTAACCCTCACAAAAACAATTCTTTTTCGCTAGCTGTGGGCCGGCGCGTTCATTGACAGACGCGGTTCCTGGTAATTAGAAAGTCGACTGGTTGTTTGAGTTTGCCGTTGACAGCCCACAATGTTGTTGTGTGCCTCCACTTGTGTACGTTAACTGAACATCAGCGGTGGAGTCTGCAGACTTGCCAGTTTTGTCATGTTTTCTTCCGTGCCGCCCGTTTTAGTGTTTAATTTATTTACTCTACCATAGGAAATGTGCTCCGAAGGCTAGTATACTTAAGGAAAACTTTGTAGCTCCAGCCTGGGACTCCATGTGGCCTGTACGTGAGTGACGTCAAACCGCGCAGTTTGTCACCTAAAAAAGAAGACTCAAGGTACTCATGGTGGCTCATTTCCCCCACTGCGTGTCAATCGTCATGCAAAGATAGTGGGAGAAACGACCAGGGAGAACCTAGTTTTCGGCGTCGGCCACTAGATTTGACAGTCTCATCGATGCCATCATTAGTCCCGTCTGCGTCGTTGCGCTTAGAGATAGGAGCGCAGTATCTTCGACGCAGTCGCGACTAGTGAACCTGATTTGTCTAATACATCGTTTGAAATATCTGCCAAACTGGCCAGCCAGACTAACCACGTCCTGGCAAATTTAAGGCTCCGTATTTAGATGCATAATGGCACGTGGTATCGAGACCGGCAGCACGCACTTGTGAATAATTAAAAGCCCACACAAAAGACCTAGTCGAAAGCGCCTTTTGTCTTGAAGTTGGCATCGAACAACACAGCCAGGACTCTGGATGACGGCCTTCCTGTGCACTCATGTTATGAAACGGCTGTCGCTGTCGAAGGACAGTTCGTCCCAGATGGGGCCGTCATAGAAAACACCGAGCCCGGCTACAGCAAACAGATGTAAGACCCCTTGGATTCATGCCAATAGTTTGTCAGAATCTGATTTCCTGAAGCCAGCGACAGTGAGATGAAACAGAACGCCTGTCACGCCATGATAAAGTCGTTTTTCAATAAGCGGTAAACCACACAGACGGACTCTCAACCACTGTAAACAACTTTGTCCGTCTGCTTTACACTGGTCTCAGATATTGGAGGGTCATTCCACTGTCTGCCACCCGTTGTCGTGCCCGACAGTGCGCAGCCAGATCAACGGACGAAGTCAACATGAGTGTATCGTCCGCCGAAGGCCTCGGGAAACAGGTGTCCGGGCCCTCATATCGCAAGTTGTAGGCCTTCTGCACCGCGGTTAGTCGTATGGAAAAAAATTAAATTTGTACTTTCATAGACTGATATTGGAGTCGATCTAACCGACCTCACTGTCCGTGGCATTGTTAGCTGGCGCCACCTGCACTACGGCGCCGCAGAATTAATTACACACTCCTGGCAATCATGGCTTATTTAAAGACGTTATGGGAGTAACGCTCCCAGTTGTCTTTGGACTGACATCCCCTCTCCCTGGTCTCGGGAGGAAATTTTGACCGCAACCCACTTTGCCGGCCTCTGTTCCTCGAGCATACTCCTAATCACCACATGAACTGCCAAACTACCCCCGAGTCACGTGTATCTCCTAGAGCAATTCAGACGAGAAGGTTGGATGATCGCCATCGTAGTGTCCGGTTTTGAATTATCAGGTGAATTGTAAGGCTTAACGCGCTCCTCGCTGGTAATGGCGTCGATGGGGCATAAAACCTGCACCCCAAAAAAGACCGTGATTTCACGCTGTCACTCACGTCATTTAATTGTCCCAAGACTGGTTGTGGAGAAAGGCAACGTTCAATTACCACACTTTCCTTTACTTTAGATTTCAGTTCGGCCGTTTACGCACACCCAGTACGAACGCTTCATTATTTCGGCCTACCCGTATTATGGAAGCGCAATCTCCATGATGGCGGGAGTCTTGGTTTTCTCTTTTGTGTATCTCTATACGCGGGACGACAAGCTCAAGGCGGAATAAGGACACTTGGAGGGACAAGGAGGAATGAGTGACGGTTAAGACGCTATACAGTCGTGTAGATAATGTTCAATTTTTACCATGGAACGAGGGTGAACGCACGCCTGCGTGCGTATGTGTGCTTTCTATACGTGTTTTTTCTTTCTATCCAACCCTCCCCTCACCCATGCGCGCACCAGCCTGTTGCCAATATTTCTTACTTGTTTTCAAAAATAAAGTGGGGTCACTGTACACGTTGCTTTTTAATATTAAAACGGATACTTAAACAAGATTTTTTTAAAGGTAGGTACCCACTACTTCTTGCCAGAAAGGTAGAGCTGCCTGTTGACCCAGTCTAGACTGATGTCCAGAGTTGGTGCCAGAACTACGGACTGCGGCGTGTATGCGAGAGTCCTTTGCCGGTCCTGAAACTCTGGGTCATCATATTCGTGGGTGAAGACGAAGGGAAGCTCCGAGTTGGTGTCATCTGGGACAGAGTAGATAAGGAGAACGAAGTATAAAAAAAAATATTTCTGCACAAAAAACTATCTCGATCAACCTTGGTGGATTTTCCCACTAGGGCATATACTTGGCTTGTAGGAAATACAGGCATTGAATTGGACAACGGGTTAGCAGTTTATCCCCTGAAAGGGTTAAGTTGGAGGACATACTGAACGGTTGTGGCTCGTCCGTCGAATGGGAGCCAGAAAATTCCCGGGACATTTTCGAAGTTTCCGGCTATTATTCAAGTGAAGAGGCACCGGAGATGTACAAGCCGAAGGTGGGGACAACGTCCAGGAAGCAGCGATCAGGAGTGCCGTTTGTCACATTAGAAATACTTCGAAATGTACGATTTCGACACATTAGCGAGGGGTCTTCGTGTACGCACCAACATCAGCTGCCGAAGAGTGTGACGGGAAGGCCTACTCGCTGCGACGCCGCAAGGAAATCGTAGGCCATTAAAAAACGACTGCGGTGGTTTGGACACGTTCTTCGTCGTCCACCTCGCCAGCTCTCAGTGTTGCTGCCGCTGACCCGGCACCCTTACCCACTTACCGGCTTCGAAGAGAGGGTAAACTCGAGCCCTGTCTTGACAGTCTGTCACGACATGGAAGTGGTTCTCGGACCCTGGATGTTTAGTCTCCGTCACTGGCGAAGAGAATGAGTTGAGCTGTTCAGATCTTTGCCGTGGATCGTCACGCGTGGAGAAGTGAAGCCTGTGACACCATCAAGGCCGGCTAGAGCAGACGTGCTCGCAGCTGTACCAAGTAAAAGAGAGGTTTCGGCACGCTTGAGGACAGTGACAGTCCTGCATTCCTTACCTTGGTCGCTGTTAGTCATCCAGCCTAATAATAACGACAATGATGGATAGGACGCGCGGAGGACAGTTGCTGTAATGGCTCGGTGTTTCACAGCACCGTCCTACCTGGGAATTTCTTCTAGGAAACATCTCACCGTGGTCACCGCCACCTACAACGTCGGCTTTATGCTCAAGACTGGGAAGACCGGGGTCCCTCCCACTGGTTTCGCGTTGCGAAAAGGTGGGGAAACGGGGAAGGAGGAGTTTGGCGTTTTGTGTGTGTCAGTTTCTGTTATACTTTCCACGGGAAGAGGAGTCGCTATAGAAAAACCCGTGCGCAACGTCTTCTGGTGGTCCCGAATGTCTCCGCGACACTGCCGCGAAACCAAATGAGAATGGAAGGATTCAATTGGGTGAGGTTACGGCCAGGGCCGTGTCGCTTTATGTCGAGATGTTGGACAACCGATGCCCTCGCAGAGTACTGCGACCTTCGCGGACCACATCCCGAATGCGGAACTTCACAATCAATCGGAACAACATCTTGCGGAAGACACAGCTTAAGACCGCTGTCGACCACAAGAGAAGCTCCTCCTTGACCCCACCTCCAAGAATCCCTGTTTTAGGTGACGCCACTACCGCTGCTGTGATGATAGAACAGAAGTGAGCAGACTGAATAACTTCGGGAGGATACTGACCCAACAACCTTCAGTGGTCGAAAACAAGACATCTGATATATGAAGACTGCCAAGGGTTTAGGAACTAGGGGCAGCGCAAATATAAGTATGTAAAATATGAACTGTGGTGACGGTCGAGAGGGGCAGGTGGGGAAGGAGAGGTGGCAGAGTTTTTACAGGGGCACTCACCATAGAGCAAGTGGATAGAAGATTGTGGCAACACCAGGCGTCCGTTAAAGTACAGGTATATACCAACGCCACCAAAAAGGAGTACAATCAGGCCCCACGGGACAATGATGGCCCAAATTCTAGGAAGGATATGGGGAGTATAAGGATCAAAAAGTAAGTCTATAAGGTCAAAAAGCCATTGGGATGCAGGATGTACGGACCATTGTAAAATGACCCAGTATTCCCTTGCAAACCCTACAAACGCCTAGATCTTCATCCTAAAGGCCAGCCACTAAATCCCAAACACGGGTTTACGCATCGGTTTCATGAAAAGCCCAATCTTCTAGGACATCGCCGGGGTGTGTTGACGAAATTCAATTCTACGCAGACAAAATAGTGGCTTCTGTTTGAAATTTTCTGGAGACTGGGAGAAAATGGCGTGTTAAAAAACTAAACACTGGCGGGGTCAGTGTGGAATGTTTCAACTGGTGACGCCAATAATTCCTGAAAATGAAGCCGAATTATCTTATTGCGTATTCAACGGAGAGTAGTCAACTCTGAACTGCCTTAGGTGGGAGATGGCGCCACGATTTAAAAATGTTTGTATTTCCTCCCTTTGTGCAGGAAATTAGATGCATCGAAGTCGTAACTTTGACAGCCTGCACTAACGATAGCGAAGAAGAGGAGGATGGTTGGACTTAAAATTAAGGCTTTAAAACGACGATAAATGGGTTAATCAAACGCGTTAATGTCCGTGTGCTGGTGATTCAATTTAGGTAAATCTGATTACCTAGTTCTCTTACAACCCTGCCTATGGCCTGTTCAGGTGTACGCAGTTCTCAAAGAAATAAGGATCTATGCAAACCCGAGAAATCTGAAATACAGCTTTTGGAATTACCTACACAAAGGCACAAAACACTTACCGCGATGGCAGATAAGTCAGACCAATTGAAGCCAAATATTCATGCGGAACATATGCCCATACAAGATAAAGTCCTAGAATCAAAAATTAACTAATTGAGCACTATACTGGACAATTGGGTAGAATTATAAAGATACTGACTAAAGCTTGGATGGGATATTCAGACACCTAAATACATCAAGGACGGGCGAAATAGGCGCTTTTTCATACATCCATAGTGCATAAAACTCAATTGAGCTTACGAAGAGCTAAGCAGCCTGCAAACTAAGGTCACTTAACCGGGGTAGATTACTGTTGAACACTGATTCCAAAGTAACAAGTTTCAGTTATTCAAATAGGAATTAGAGGAATCGTGATGAGTCATAGACCTAATTGAGTACTTCTGTCGGGCTAATCCACAAGACGTACGGGGACAAACATGGGGATGCCAAATTAAGTTCTGAAGCATTATGACTTTGAACGTTAAAGTAGTGAAGTCAAATACCACGCGACGAGCCGGATGACCGTTTAACTTACAGTAGGTCCTGACTTCTGGCTTTTAAATGAATATATTTAAGCAGAGGTAACTTAGACATAGGGAGAAATGTCCCCCGGCAGATATTTGGTTTTCGGACATTTTGGGGAAGTTCGGTCGAACTTTCTTGCCATGAAGTAACAAGTACGTCGTACGGACAACGACCTCTCGAATGCGTGCGAAGTAATTGACTATGTCTCATTAAAGCAGACACATAGTCAATCAATACTTAGTAGATTCACTCAATGGTTGGAAAGTTCCGCTAAGATACCGACGACACAACTGTGTAAATTATAAGAAAAGAACAATAAGACAAAACAAAGTTAGCCGACTTAAAAAGACATACCAAAGAGGAACCAGGCGATAATATAGGTGGCGAAACCGTAAACAGCGCGTTCCGTAACAGGTCCGGGAGATGTATCTGACTTTGGCAGAGTGACTAACAAACATGTAAATAGGCACAAGACTTACATCTGTAGCGCTGTAAGTTAGCAGTCGCGGGAGAAGGGGCAGACACATTGGAGGTATCCTATAAGAATGTGCAAGATGTCATAGCTTTTCGAAGATTCCTATTAAAAAAAGGGCTCAAAAATATCAGGGCGAGTTGCGTAACGGTGAGGAATTTTATTGACTCGGACGATGGCTTCCCTCCAGTAAGTCAGTCGCATCAATACGTGCACACCTACGCGCTTAGCCGCACCTTGCGCGGCCAAACAGGTAGTTGCGCCTTCAGGCGCATTCCTACAGTTCGTAACCCCAGGGATTTAGCAGCCTATTTGACTCGGGATGTCCGCGATGTATGCAAAATAAGGGCTGTTTGCACCAGTCCGCGACCTTAGCAACCTCGGAGTCATCGTAGCCGACAAATTGGCAGCAAAATATTATCAGGGATCAGTAATTACCAAAGCTGCCTATGACTTATAACTTACCGATTCGGATGCAGAAGTGTTTCTAAGGCCTACCAGGAGAGCATCGTGAAGATTTAAGGAAGAATGGGGTTAAAAATGACGTTGGCTTCAATACTAACTCAAGTAATTACTTAAAGCAACAATTAATTGTGCTAGTAGAGCTGTGGGTGGTCGATCATCTATCGCGAAAATACAGGATAAAAAACGTAGGGTCTCCGAAGCTCCACGAAACGAAGCAGAAGACAAAATAGTAGGTGGTTAAGGCCCTACACTAGTATCCTCCTCCGAAGACTGAAGACCCATCTGTTACCGCTGTAACGCCCCTTGGCGCCAACAGAGTTGTTTGAATGTGGGAACACTTTTGGCGCGCAGACGTAACTGCGTGCTGGCGAAGACGGCTGGTGTCCCCTCCCCTCACTACCGCCGACCCCCCCTCCCGCAACGTACCGTCGCTCTCGACTCTCTCCCGCAACGTCGGCTCCCCTCGACCCTTCCCTGCAGTTGCCCACAGCGCTGCATCCCCACCGGCTGTTTAGCTAGTATCTCAGGGTCGTCTATCCATCCAGACAGGTCACCTATTCGTAGTTTCTCATTCCGCATGTACACTTACGTTTTTATACACATTCTCCGTATCCATTTCATTCTATTATACTATATCTCATACTTGACCTACTTCTTCTTCCATGTGTGAATGAGTATCCAGGAATGCTAACGGTTCTGTTCAGACTCTACCTCCGCCAGGATCTCTCCTCAGCGTTTCTTAACTTTGTTGTGTGCTACCCTCGACATCGTCGGACGCTACATTCCGGGTCCGCGCGCCAAAAGTGTTCCCACATTCAAACAACTCTGTTCGCGCCAAGGGGCGTAGCTCCGGACGAAATGCGAAACATATTTGAAGAGACGTGGATGGTTGAGGCATCTGACCGACTACAGGGTCAGGTGAAGTCTGAACGAGCCGAATACAGAGTATGAATTGGTCAGCTGTATGGATCTGGCGGGCACACAGTCAGCGTGAAAATGCCTACGTGGACGGCACTTTCACGCTGACTGTGTGCCCGCCAGATCCATACAGCTGACCAATTCATACTCTGTATTCGGCTCGTTCAGACTTCCCCTGACCCTGTAGTCGGTCAAATGCCTCAACCATCAACGTCTCGTGAAATACGTTTTGCATTTCGTCCGGAGCTACTGGAGGATTATGGCCCAGAGCAAAATTTCGAGATGGCCAAGGCACGACTTTACGCCTCTTCCGCGGCCGAAGTGGAGTCCAGTTCGAAGAAAATAATGTATACATCCAATGTAGCGTCCGAGGATGTCAAGGGTAGCACACACCAAAGTTAAGAAACGCTGAGAAGAGATCCTGGCGGAGGTAGAGTCTGAACAGAACCGTTAGCATTCCTGGATACTCATTCACACATGGAAGAAGAAGTAGGTCAAGTATGAGATATAGTATAATAGAATGAAATGGATACGGAGAATGTATATAAAAACGTAAGTGTACATGCGGAATGAGAAACTACGAATAGGTGACCTGTCTGGATGGATAGACGACCCTGAGATACTAGCTAAACAGCCGGCCGAGGGGGTTGCCGATGTAGTGAGGGCAGCGGTACGAACGTTACGACACGATACGGAGCGGGAGAGGGGATCGGCGGAAGAGAGTGGAAGGGACACCGGCCATCTTCACCAACATGCGGCTACGCCATCTCCATCCTAGGCCCACGCGCCAAAAAGTGTCACGGCATTCAAACAACCATGCCCAGATCAGGGGACGTTACACCTTCATAGGAGTCGGTAACTTTTTAGCACATTAAAATAACTAGAGAGAATCCAAAGAGAGGACATTTCTAAGTTCGACTTCCTTCAGAAGTTTCCGGTTGTTTCCGTGAACATACACATTGACTGGTAAGATAATCGGCAGTAAGGACGCAGTTAGTTGTAGAATATAATATGCACTAGGCCACAAGGTTAGTGGACGGCGTGAAAGGAATGCAATATTAGGAAAGAGCATAACGAAACAAGAAAACAAGTTGAAATATCAACAGGGACTCGAAAAATTTTAATATAAAGCAAGCCGAAGAAGCATCCACGGCACAAAACCTGAGCAGTAGTCGAAGTAGGAATGTACTTGGAGCAACATATGTATAGTAACACCTTTGAATCCCGGGTTTCGGAGGTGAGAAGTCACGGAGTACTTAGCCTTGGTGGCGTTGCGCTGGTTTTCTTCTGTCATTTTAAAACACATTGTTAACATAACTCTATCACAATGTGCCGACATCGCACCACAATCGATACGAGGATAAAGTATGCGAACCAAAGTTCGAACTGTTTATTCAACTGTCAACCGAAACACAAGTATAATAATCAGAATCAGTAGTTTGATCAGGAGAATTATGGACTTGTTTTTGCGACAACAGTCTGATACCAGCACACAAGCAATAAACCCTGTAGACCTTACGATACCTTCTCTATTTTCTGTCCTGCCTTCACTCACTTAAGCAAAACTCCGTCCTGAGTGCTCTAATACAGTAGTTGGTTTTGCACGCGAGTGAGACCAGCGAATGGTGCGTGTGATAATAATAATGAAATATACTATAAGCGAATTTAGCAATAAAAATTGCCTCTGTTTTCCGAAAAAAGATAATGGAAAAGGATTTACATACGACATTGGATTTGGCGGGATTCAGTGAAATTCAACATTACATGGGGTAGGCTGAAAACGATTTGCTTCGTCTGTACAACGTCCACATACTCATTATTCCACTCCGTTGCACACATATGATACATAATATTGCCTGAAAAGATCCAAGACTGATGGCTACTACTCCACAAAATGAGAGACGATATTTCTCCATTAAAGGTTTTATTTCAGTTAACGTTTATTCGATTTGTAGGTTCGCAGAATAATAAGCCCTACCAGTCGTCCTTCCCTGGCGATGTCAATCTATCGAGGATTGGGGTTTCTGCTATTATCAGCAATGAGCACGCGTGACAGGGCAGTTTTACA